TTTTTCAAAGGGGGGGTGATTTAGGTCAAGTAAAAAAAAAGATTTAGGAAGATTGAAAAGAAAGAATTGTTTATCCATTGGTCTATTTGTTGATAAAGTTGGCACTCATTCTACTGGTAACAACCGCTAGTGTTGAGCGAGTTTTTTCTGCAATGACTTATGTTAAGGATAAGTTGCGCAATCGGATAAGTGATGATTGGTTTAACGCATGCATTCTAACTTATGTTGAACGTGATATATTTGATAAGATTGATGATGAAGATATAATACAATATTTTCAAGGAATGAAGAATCAAATAATGCTTTTGTGATCGTTCTATTGTAACAACTTAGTTGACTCTTGATTATTATTATTTTTATGTTAAGTTAAAGTTTTCTTTTCTTTTTTCGTTTATTTTTTTTAATATAATAAAAATTTTATTTTAAAAAAATCTTCGGAGGCGCTGCCCCCGAACCCCTGCCTTAAGTGTGCACACATAAAAAAAAAAAAATTATGGGTCCGCCACTACCTGTTCGACATGAAAAGGCACACATGTTCGACATGAAAAGACACACCTGCTCGACACGAAAAGACACACCTTTTCAATACCATACTTTTTATTCATAACATGTGAGATTTAGACCCAAAAATCCAACAAAGAGTTCTCATAGGCCTTGTGATATTATTCTAAATTCAGTTTCAGAACTTGATCGAGCCACGACCTTTTGTTTTTTTTGCTTTGGTAAACTTGTTTTTTACTCCTCCAAGTAACAAGGTTTCCTTCTACGAGAATCAAGTAGCCTGAGGTAGATCTCCTGGTTGATTGATCTCCTGCCCAATCTGTGTCAATATATCCTTCTACAGTGGATGCCTTATTCTTTGTAAACAATAATTCTCTTCCTGGTGCACCTTTCGAGTATCTCAAGATTTTGTACACAACATTTGTGTGCTTTGATACCATGTAGCAATTAGGGATTCAATTTTTGAATAATTTTCTGATGTATTCTCTATTAACAATTGTTGAGATATATATAGATTTTGAGACTAATTAACTCTACAAAACGGAAACTGAATCACCCAAATTTTCTCTTAAAATTAAGGAAGTTAATTATTGCCAAAAACCCCTACTTAATCACATTCAAATTCCTGAAATCTTATTGCTAAAATTAGGGATTTTATTCTTCTGTCAAAAAATTGAAATCCCCTGCTATAATGACATCCACTATTGTAAAACCCGACCTGACCCGGCCGGGTCAACTCGGAACCCGGCGAACTGGTCATCAGACCGGTTCGGGTTATGCATTAGACCGATTATGCATCGGACTTGTTCAAACTCGATCAAAACCAGCCGAACCCGGTGACCCGGTCAGGTCATGCATTTAAAAAAAACAAAAAAAAATTAAAATTGTTTCATCTTGTCAGAAAAAAATATAGAACTCATTTTAATTTTTTTTTGTAATTTTATTTGCTAGTATACTTTTCTACAATGACCTGAAATTCCAACTTCCAAAACTAAAGCAATTTGCTGAATACTAAATTAAGAGAATATGACATATGTCATTTTAATGTAGATGAATTTAAAAAATATAGTTCAATGTCATTGAGAGGTATGTTTATAGAGATTCTGAGTTTCAATTTAAATTAACATAGTAAAAACTTGTATTTTCATTTATTTGTGCTTCATATTTCTGAGCTAATTTAGTGAATCTTGTTTAATTCATTTTAAATATGGAGAATATAATTAAATTTATATGTTTATATTTATATATTTTTTATATATTTATATATTCGGGTCAATCAATTCGACTAATAATCTACTGATCCGACCAATGATTCAATATCCCTACCAAGACGATCCCCTAGTCGGGTTTAATAATAGTGATGACATCAACATCAAGGTTGTCCGTCTCCATGAATTTAAGTTGCTTCAACTGCTGCACCTTCCCACCGTACCCCAATATGATTTTTCCAGATGTGCTTCAGAGGTTAATTTGATTTAGTATATTAAATTAGGATTTGATATTTCTCATACAAAATTATCTGCTACCCATATAAAAATATGTGGAGATAATGTGAAGAGAAATGAAAAAAAAAACGAGTCTCATGCATTTTTATATGTGTGTAAGAGATAAAATCAGTGTTATTAAACCTGGACTGACCCGTTTGGGTCGACCCGGAAACCGATGAATCGGTCATATAACCAGTCCGATTGATGTAACGGACTGGCCATGCATCAGAACCGGGGCGACCCGGTCTGACCCGGCCGGTTTTCATGAAAACCGGTGACCCGGTCGGTTAACCGGTGACCCGACCCGGTTCCAAAAAAAAATCAAATTATTTATTTTTTTAAAAATAAATAAATCATAATAGACATATTTGAATATTTTTTCCTTATTGACTTACATAAGTTATGTACTTACAACATTAATATTATCTCAATTATGTACTATTCAGAAAATTTTGATTTGATTTATAGTTAGAGATGTCATTTTCTGAACCTAAAGCCCTGTATCATGATCATTATATTTTTGTTTGATCCTTTAGATATTTGAGTATGCTTATAATTTTTTATTATAAATCATAAAAATACATATAATTATCGGGTCATGCGGTTGAACTAGTGATCCACTGAATGAACCAGTGACCCACTGACCCAATACCTCGACCGGGTCAATGATCGGGCTGGTTTTAATAACATTGGATAAAATTATCTCCTATAATACCAGAGAAATTAAACCCATTAAATTATGAGAAATATTTTTCTTATGTTGTTGGAAACAGTTATCTTATGATAGTGAAATAAAATTATAAGAGAGACTCATAAATAATTAGAGAAAAAAAATAGAGGTAAAATTTACCTTTATTATGTGTATGTAGAAATTTAATTTATCTGATATATTAAATGAGAAAAATATAACCCTTAAATTATTAGTCATTGTTCTAATAGGTTTGAATAAATTTATCAGTCAGCATATCTTTTTATCGAACTTTCAATTCTCTGCACTTGTCCCATACGATTTAATAAGCTGTATGTATGAATGACACTTTTTTTTATTCGAGATGAATTTCAATGTAATGTATTTTTTATATTATTACTTAATTTTATGCTAATATCATATTCAACACTACATATTCATAATTGATATGACAACACATTATATAAGTGTGAAACTTTTTTACATTAATATTGCATTAAAATTAAATTATTTATGTTCAATTTTAATTCTGATCTACAAAAATGAAACCGTAAAAGGAATATAAATATGCATAAATCCTCGTCACTGGATCATGATACTGTTCCGAATTAATAGCACGGGCTAATGCTTAAATTGGCGAGATGCCTCCGCAACTCATTTGCAAATTATGACAACACACCTGTATATATGCTTTGATCATGAACAATTCTACACTTAACAAGTCATCTCTTTCGTAAGTTTTCTTAAAATTCATGTCATATCTTATAGACAGAAGCTCACGGGTCCTTAATGTAATTTGAGAATTGACTATCTCGTATTAAAATTTCACATAACACCCTACATAATAATGTCACCCATTTTTTTATTAATATAAACTAAACCCTACATATTTAATGTATAGGAAAAAAAGATGTAAATTTTTCTGATATAGACAAGTCATATAAAATTTTAATATTAGAAAATCATTCTCACTCAGTCACCCTACTTAATAAATACACTAGAATCAAATAAAGAGATGCATTCCACCGATTCATCAAGAAATCTCAATAAATCTACGCACCTGTAGAATAATTAAATAAAATAAGGATAGAACAATTATTATTTTAACTATAGTCTTAAAGTTGACATTAATGCATATCTAACAGCCGTCCCATATTATGAATAATGAAGTCGACATCAAGTGATTATCCACCATACAATTAAGATGTTGATCATTCAACATATTTCACCTACCTTTTTTAATTAAATCAATTGAATTTCTTGGCCAGAGTATATTACAAATTACTAAATTTTATTTAATCCAGATATAATCGATTTCGCTTGACAATGGCTATATTCAATTGTTATAACCAAATAGTCAGCATCAAAACATCATGTTGATTGTACCAAATTATTTCCAATAAATTAGATTAATTATCTTTTGAGAATTTTTACAAAATGACTTTCTATTGCATTTTATAAATAAAATTGTGCCATGTTTCTTTGTTTGATCGATATAATTTGTTAACAGAAACACAAATATCCGGTTTAACCGGAACAAAAATAAAAGTTTATTTTTTATAGTTTCATGATTTATAATAAGCTAAATGATAAAATTTAGATCGTAGATAATTAGTTTTACCTATACTCATTGTCAATATTCTTGCAATAATTACTTTCGCAAGCTTGTGAAAAGTTATACATAATTGTCCTATACAGCTTTTAAGCGTGAAAAGATTGTATGGCGCACAAGACCTTCTTTCTTCCCAAAGAGTTCATATTTTTTTTTTAAAATATGTTTTAATTTAAAAATATTTTTTTAAATTAATTTTTAAAAATATGAAAAAAATATTTATTGACATATTTTAGTTAAAACTACTATTTTTTATTTAATATTTAAATTAAAAATCTCTCACTTTCTTTCACCATAATTTTTATTGTGTATTTATTTCTCTCATAAAAAATCCTAATTTTAATTAAAATGATATAATTCTATGTCTTTTAAAAGGACAAACATTAATTCATAAAATATATATTTTTAAAGAACTTATCGAAATATATATATATATATATATATATATATATATATATATATTTTGCAATTGATCTTAGGCAATAATTGATAATCATTAAGTTACAATAGAGAAATATGCGACATATGAAAATGTGTATAATTTCAGAATTTGCAATTCCAAAAAAAAAATAATTGCAATTTAATCTTATTATTTAAAAGAATCATTATTCTTTATTAGAAAAAAAAAAAGGAATTATGAGTTCGTTACCTCGGATCTAGGATTGGAATAATTGGATAAATGAACGGCCCCCGCTCCGCGCCAGTCAGTTTCATTTCAAAGAGGAAGTTCATTCTTTTCTTCTCCACAAACGTAGTGAACAGTTTTCTAGGAATATATTTCAAATTTTCCTAGAAAAACCTTCAATATCTTTTTCTTTCACTCTCGAAGAATTGGAGAATTTTTAAAAGGTAACAGAGCATATCGATTTTTTTTTTTTTAATTTTTTTTTACACTCCCATTTTGCCATTCCTTTCTACATAATTTGTATTTTCTTTCCCCGTTCCTGTTTGGGATAAAGTTTCTCACTCTACCTAACTCTTAAAACAATGAATCCTTTCGACTGTTCCCACTCACTGTTGGTTTAATTTCATACTCTCTCTCTCTGTTCTGTGCATAATGATCAGAGATTGGTGACTGCGCTCGTAATCTGGTTTTCTACATGGCGTGGCGGGGATCTTTTGGAAGATTTTGGGCATCGTTCCAGGTTGTTGAAATTTTCTCCGATTTTCTATCGTTTCTTTTTCTGGTTGGTAGTGGTTGCACTATGTTCAATTTTTTTAAGGATAATTGATGGTGGAGACCTGATTATACTTATATTTTTTCTGAAAAAATCATATAATCACTCATAGTGATTTTACATTTCAGACCACTTTGAGTGGTATTGGTCCTTCAGCATTCATTTTGCGGTAATCCAATACATACTATCAATTCTGTCTCTTTATATGGCTATAGGTTAATTATTTATTATTATTCATGAATAGAGTCTACAAAGAGAATAATCTACAGAATGTTTCTATTTTATCAAAAAAAATTCTCGCTATGTAACATTTTCTTCTGTCAAAGTTCTGGTTAAACAATTTTACCTGTGCAGCTGTTACAAGAGCATATTAGCTGTCAGTTACATACTATCAATTCTGTGGAATTGTTAGTTTCCCCCTTGCGTAAATGTAGGGAAGTAGTTAGAGGAGTCTGTTGCTTAGCCGTCAGTTGTTTGGGATATAAATAAAGATGTAAACCCAGAACTAGGCATTGAATAAAAATCTCAGAAGTTTCTTTCACTTTCTCTTTAGTTTGCTCTGTTCTCTCTGCCAATTAGGGTTCATACCTAACATTGGTGCTTTCACGATTCGAATGCAAGAGCTTTCTGAGGAATTGCATTACTCATTTCCAATTTGATGATTAGCACATTTACCAAATTATTATTTTTAGTTTCTTTCAAAAGCGAAGAGATTTTATATATTTAATCATAGATCAAAGGCTTAAAGCCAACTGAAAAGTAGTTTTTTCTCAACCCAAGGTATGTGCTCTCTCTGTCGGGTATACGATAAGTTTGAAAACCAATCACGTAGTATGGCAGGAAATGCTTCTAGCCTTCTAAGTGGTGGTGATTATGTACCGCCTTGTTAACTAGTGTGTGTGTCAATTTCGTACTTAACTTTAGCTTCCTAGTTTAAATTTGTTTAGTTGCTCGTACTTGAAAAATGGTATTCTAATATATTATAAGTACTTGAAAAATGGTATTCTAATATATTATAGAATTGTAAATAATCTGTACAAAGGGTTCTCTATTTATAGAGAATATTTGACCTACTTTTAACCTAATGGGCTTGGCCCAATACAATAAAGGGCTTGGCCTAATACAACAATAAATGACTAAATAAAAACTAAATAATAACTAAATCAATATTATTTACAACACTCCCCCTCAAGCTGAGGAATAAATATTTATCATTCCCAGCTTGCTAGTAAGTTCTTGAAATCTGTCTGAAGAAAGCCCCTTTGTTAATAGATCAGCCAATTGACGCCCAGTGGGAATGTATGGAGTGGTAATCAACCCGCTATCAAGTTTCTCTTTGATGAAATGGCGGTCAACCTCAATATGTTTAGTCCGATCATGTTGAACTGGATTATGAGCTATACAAATAGCGGACTTATTATCACATAGCAGCTTCATAGGTCCCTCACATTTTATTTTGAGATCATCAAGAACAATTTTCAGCCACAGTAACTCACAAATGCCTTGAGCCATAGCTCGAAATTCAGCTTCTGCACTTGATCTGGCAACCACATCTTGTTTCTTACTTCTCCATGTCACCAAGTTACCGCAAAGAAACATGCAATAACCAGTGGTAGAACGACGGTCAGTCACGGATCCAGCATAATCAGCATCTGTGTAGACTTCTAAAGATAGATTGCCATCACGTCGGAATAACAATCCTTTACCAGGAGTACCTTTAAGATACTGAAGAATTCTCTCTACTGCCTGCATGTGTTTTTCTTTTGGATCGTGCATAAACTGACTGACAACACTAACAGCATAAGCTAGGTCTGGTCTAGTATGGGCCAGATATATCAATTTCCCAACTAGCCGTTGATATTGTCCTTTATCAACTGGAGGACTCTCTTCTTCATAGCCCATCTTGTGATTCTGCTCAATAGGAGTATTAGAGGGTTTACACCCGAGCTTTCCTGCTTCTTTGAGAAGATCAAGAACATATTTCCTCTGGCTGATAAAAATTCCTTTGCTTGAATGAGCTACTTCTATCCCTAGAAAATATCTCAGTTTCCCAAGGTCTTTGATTTCAAACTCAGAGGCAAGCCGTGTTTGCAGAATCTGTCTCTCCATAAAATCATCACCTGTGATAATAATATCATCAACATATACAAGGAGCACAGTAAGCTTCCCATTTTGGGAGTGCTTGAAGAAAAGAGTGTGATCTCCTTGGCTCTGTCTGTATCCTAAGGTCATCATAACCTTAGTAAATCTTCCAAACCAAGCACGAGGTGACTGCTTCAATCCATACAAGGCCTTTTTTAATCTACAAACTTTATTTTCCCCCTTCACAGAATCAAAACCAGGCGGGATTTCCATGTAGACTTCTTCTTATAACTCACCATTGAGGAAAGCATTTTTCACATCAAATTGATTTATATCCCAATTGTAATGGGCAGCAAGGGATAACAAGATTCTCACTGTATTCATCTTTGCAACTGGAGCAAAGGTTTCTTCATAATCAATGCCATAGGTTTGAGTGTAACCTTTGGCCACTAATCGAGCCTTATATCTCTCAAGAGTGCCATCAGAATTATATTTCAGGGTATAAACCCATCTGCACCCTACTGCTTTCTTTCCGTTGGGTCTATCAATAACCTCCCATGTTTTATTTTTCTCCAAAGCATTCATCTCCTCTTGCATGGCTTGAGCCCAATTCCTATCTTTCAAGGCTTCATGTACTGATTTTGGGATTGCAATAGAATCTAGTGCTGAAACAAAGCTTTTGTGCTGCACAGAAAGATTAGCAGAGGAAACAAAGTGGGAGATAGGGTATTGAGTACAAGAGGGACAGGAGGAACAAGTTTTCTTGTGACAAGATCTTTTTCCTTTTCTAAGTGCAATAGGTAAGTCATCAGAAGTAGAAGCAATGGGTAAGTCATTAGAGATATCAGAAGAAATAGACAAATCATGAGAGGAAATAATATTAGAATCAGAAACAGGAGATTCAGAAGAAATAGGAGATTCAGGACTTACCAGTGGTTCAGACGATTGAGGTTGCTGGTGAGACAGTATGGGTTGTATCTCGGGTGTATTTGAAGGTTCTGACACACCAGGAGCAGACACACTAGGAAGAGAGAAGATTGATCCAGACTCAAAGAAGGAAGGGGACGAGTCTTCTGAAGAACTATTCTCCCCCTGACGATGAGGACCCAGGAAATAAGATTCAGATTCTTGAAAGGTGACATCCATAGAAACAAAAAATTTCCGACTTGGTGGATGATAACACTTGTACCCTTTTTTATAAGGGTTATAACCAAGGAAGACACACTTAAGAGCCCTAGGATCCAACTTACTCCGATGTTGTTTATGAACATGGACAAAGGCAACACATCCAAACACTCTTGGTGGAAGGCTCTGCAATATGGGAACAGAAGGAAAGAAGTAAGTCATGGAATGAATAGGACTGATATTGTTAAGGACCCGTGAAGGTAAACGGTTGATCAAAAAAGTTGCAGCTAATACTGCTTCTCCCCAATAAGAACTAGGAACAGATGTCTGAAAAAGTAGTGCTCTAGCAACTTCAAGAAGGTGACGATTTTTCCTTTCAGCAACCCCGTTTTGTTGAGGGGTATCAACACATGTGAGCTCATGAATCATACCTCTGTCTGAAATGAATTGTGACATGCGTTGATTGACGTACTCAGTACCATTATCAAATCTGAGTCTTTTAATACCCTTACCAAACTGAGTCTCAACCATGTGATGAAACCGAATAAATATCTCTGGTACTTCAGACTTGTCTTTCATCAAGTATATCCATGTTATCCGAGTACAATCGTCAATAAAAGAAACAAACCACCTAGCACCCGAAACACTGTGCACTTTAGAAGGGCCCCAAACATCAGAATGGATAAGAGAAAAAGGTTCTCTGCTTTTAATAGTGCTAGAAGGAAATGACACTCGATGGTGTTTTGCAAATTCACAAACATCACAATGAAAGGTCTCAACCGACTTATTGAGAAACAGAGAGGGGAACATAGACTTCAAAAGACTAAATGGTGGATGCCCGAGACGCTTGTGATGGAGCCAAATCATAGACTCTGCAGTAGAAGGATGACGTGTCATTAATAACTGATTTTTGCTAGCAAGGTCTGGAAGGAGATGATACAACCCATCCTGTTCATTAGCAACTCCAATTGTCTTCTTCGTGGTAAGATCCTGAATAAGACAATGAGAAGGAAAAAATGTGATAGAACAATTCAAATCAGTTGTAATTTTTTGAGTGGAGATAAGCTTAGTAGAAAGCTGAGGAACATAAAGAACATTTTTAAGAAACAAGGAAGGTTGAATTTGAATGTTACCAGAACCAATAACTGATTTATGGGATCCATCAGCTACGGATATAGTATGACTACCAACAGTAGGATGATAAGAACAAAATAACTCAGTACGACAAGCCATATGATCAGTTGCACCAGAATCCAAAATCCATGAGGTTTTAAAATCAGTGCAAGAAGCAAGAAGAGATATAGAACGTGTGCTCTTACCAGATAAGATCGAAGAACTATCATGCTCAGCCATTCTTTAACAAAAAAAGTTAACAACCAGCGATAAAATCAACCAAACAGAATATCAAATGACCTCTGATCAGAAAAATAATTATAGATCCAGACAGAAGACAAGAAGACGAGAAGAATGGTGGTGGTCCGGTCCAAAAACACGGCCGCACGCGCCGGAGAAAGGAGCTGCGCGTGGGATTCACTCGCCGGGAAAGGGGCGGCGCGTGAGAGCGCGTGGATGGGCTTCGCCGGCTGAGATTTTTCTGGTGTGGTCGTCCGGTGAGCGCACACCTGTCTGTGGGTGGTCGCGGTTGAAAAGTCGCCGGAAAGTGGTCCAAACGGTGAAGACAGATCTGATTGGAGGCGATCGGAGGTGTTTCGGTCGTTTGTGGCGGAGGAACACTGCGTAGAATGATAGATCGGAGGAAAAATAAGGTCAACAATGGTCCCCTTGGTCCAAAAGGTCCCCGGAAAAATTTTCCGGTGGCGGCTAATGGCGGCAAGATGCAAAGAAATTAGGGTTTTGTTAAAAAAGAAGATAATATGTGCGGAAGCAAAGCCCTCATATCGAGAGCTCTGATACCAACTTGAAAAAGGGTATTCTAATATATTATAGAATTGTAAATAATCTGTACAAAGGGTTCTCTATTTATAGAGAATATTTGACCTACTTTTAACCTAATGGGCTTGGCCCAATACAACAAAGGGCTTGGCCCAATACAACAATAAATGACTAAATGAAAACTAAATAATAACTAAATCAATATTATTTACAACACTCGTTTTCTTGGTTGTTTATTACTGCAGGGAGGGATGAGGCAGAGTGATCCTTCTGCTCATACTATCAAGTCCCATGGAGCCACACTTGCAAGAAATCACATTCGTGATTGGCTTATATTGGTGCTTCTCATAGTAATAGAGGTTGTCCTCTTCGTCATTCATCCATTTTACCGCTTTGTAGGAAGGGACATGATGGAAGACCTTAGATATCCTATGAGAGGCAACACTGTGCCCGTATGGGCTGTTCCTGTAAGTTCCTTTACTGTATAACTAGAATTAAAGTTCTCTGGGTTGCTTGCATATCACGGTGTTTTTGTGTTCGTTGTCCCTGTATAACATTCAATTGTTTATTGTATCAATATAAAATGCTAACAGCTAATTGTACTCTCTCTTTTTTTTAATCTTATTTATGTGAGAATTAAGTCTTGCGCAAAGAGATGATGGGAAAAATGCGAGGCGTCTAACTTGTTTGCTTCCCACACTTTTTTCCTTATGAGCTAATCGCTTTTTTTTTTTTTATTTGATGCAAGGAATTGTAATTAATTTTTTTTCTTCTGTTAATGATCAGCTATATGCGGTTCTGTTGCCAATGGCTGTTTTCCTTCTCTTCTATATGCGTAGGAGAGATGTTTATGATTTGCACCACAGTGTTCTAGGTAACCTTTGCATTTCTGGCATACTCACATTCACAATTTCACATGGAGGTTAACAAATTTTACATCTTGTTTTTATTTATTTATTTATATATCTTGGATAATATACATCTTGTTTTAGACCAAAAATCAAAATCAAAATCAAAATTATCTTTTTTTCACAAAATAATTTTGTCTTGAGGTTATTTTAGTAATTTTTTTGTGTGAATATTTTTATCATTTGAACTTTTAAATTAAGTGAGAGAGAGAGAGAATTTACTTTTAATAAAGAGAGAGAACTGAATTTTGTTATTAACTCGACTCATTATAATCTTCATTTTTCCAAATTATGTTCTTTTTTAAATATAACTTTTTTTATAAAATAATGAAATCTGTTCTTTTTTAATCTTTCATCCTTTTTTCTATTTAATGAAAAGAGTCCAATTCTCTTTCATCATTAAAGTCTGTGTTAATATTCCCATTTTTTTTATTGAATCCGATAATTTAAATTATTAAATGACCTTCAGATAAAGTTATTTTATAAAGACAGATTTTGATATTTTTGACCAAAACAAAAGAACAAGGTTATTAGCCTCTATACATGAATGTAAAACTAATCTGTTGAAGAATGGGTTTAAAATTATTATTATTATTTTTTTTTGGTATGCGGGTGAAAAATATTTTTGTTAATATACTTCATTTGCTAGGCCTCCTATTTGCTGTTCTGATCACTGGGGTCTTGACCGATGCAATAAAAAATGGAGTTGGCCGGCCTCGGCCAGACTTCTTTTGGCGTTGCTTTCCTGATGGTGTAGAGGTAAGCAAGTGTAATTTGTTTCATTGAATACACGTACTGCTCCTCAGGTCCTTTTGATGAAAAAAGTATTGTTTTTACAACTCGCCTCATACTTTGAAAATTTTCAATTCTCAACTACAAATAGTATGGAGTGATTCAATATGAACAAGATCTTTATTCGAAATTAGTTGGGTATGTAAAAGATGAACTCAAATGAAAATTATGAAAAGATTGAGAAAAAAAGGATAAAAATAAAATTTAATATATATATATATATAGGAAAAAGTGTTTGTCATTTTAAATGACATAAAGTTATGTCATTTTAAGAGAGATACAGACACATGAAATTTAAATTTTAAATTAAAAAAACTACCCACTTTTTCTCTCCCATATATATATAAAACATTATCTATTAAAAAATAATAAACAATTAAAAAGAAAAAATCAAAATAAAGTGAAAATAAAGATACAAAAAGAAAAAAAAGGAAGTGAAAAAAAGAAAAAGAAATAGAGATAAAAAAAAGAAATTACATAAAAAATAAACAAGAGAAAAGATTGAGAGGAAAAAAAAATTAAAGAAAAAAAAAGAGAATAAAGAAAGAAAGAAAGGGAAATAAAGGAGTAAAAAAGAATTATTGGAACATATGAAAAAAAAAGGGATTTAAGGCACACCATCAAATTAGTTCGGTCTATATATCTCTTGTACGTTGTCAAGCTCTTGGTAACAAATTATTAGAAATTGAATAGTAATAGTAGATGGGAGTAATTAATTGTTAGAAATGGAATAAAAATGGTTTAGTAAATAATTCTCATTTTAAGGCTTGTTTTTGTATCTTGTTATTCTTGTGCCTTGCACCAAAGCAATAGGACCCGAGAGTAATATATAACCACATGATCTTAATTTCTTTCCGTTCCACCCTGTCCTTTGTTGCGGCGTGTTTATTAGTTGTTAGTTGTTACCTTTTCATTTAGGGATAGATCCATTTACAAACTTTTTTTTACAAATTATACTAAGTACGATTGGTTATACACTGCATGATTAAAGTATGATCGGTCGTACTAGTGTAGTTTGTAAGCAAAAAAATTTGTAAATATAACCTGCCCCTTTCATTTGTTTATAAACTACTTATTAATGAGTAAGGATATTTTAACTGCCAAAAACTCTCACTACTAACTTACTACCCATCACATCACCATTGGATCAAAGAGTGAGAATGTTAAAAAGTTTTGAAAAAAGAAAAAATTTCAATCTAATGATGATTAGATAGGTAGTAAGTTGGTAGTGAAAAATTTTAGTAGTTAAAATATCCTTCCTTCTTATTAATTACTTTGATATTTGGGTTTTCTCATGTGAGATGTTTTTAGTTTCATCCAAACCTCTTAATTTCTGTTTGCTTGTTTGGGTTTCATCCAAACAAGCAATAAGACCATTTGGGGGATGCGTCCATCTCTTGTAAAGAGCTGCCAGATTAAATTTTTCTAAATCCACTTTTGTATTTTCTCAATTCTTAATCGTTGGTTTTCCTTTTTCTTATTGCCATACTTAGGTTTTTATGTATGATGTGGATAAATGTTGTCAGATATTTCTATAAAACTATAACTGTCATTATTAATCGTCTTCTCTTTGATTAACCTTACAGGTTTATGATAAATGGGGAGGTGTGGTATGTCATGGGAAGGATAGTGATATAAAAGAAGGACACAAGAGTTTCCCTAGCGGCCATACATCATGTGAGCAACAATATTGCCCTAGTTCCTCTTTTTGCTGCTTGCTTTAGTGTGAGCAATTGGATTTAACAATGCATTTTTATATAGACAAGTCGAACTGAATACTGAATTATATTTTTCTTATCACTAACAAATTTGGTGAACATATTAGAAACGCAGTATTAGCTAAAAGCGGCGTTGTTTTTACCCATGTAAAGATCGAAAGAATATTTGAAGAGTATGAAATCGGTGAACATTATATCAATTAAACTTATACTGCAATAAATTCTTGTTTTAGTTTAGTGCTAAATTTTATTATTGTGATATATCTAGTGTGGAGTTAACATGCGAGGCAATATATTAATTTATTCATCAGATAACTAGCTAATTTGTTCAGAAATTTTTTTGGATGGACCTTCAATCTGATAAATCAGTTCTTCAGGGTCCTTTGCCGGTTTAGGTTTTCTGTCTTTGTATCTATCCGGGAAGATTAAAGCTTTTGATCGCAGAGGGCACGTGGCAAAATTATGCATTGTGTTTCTTCCTCTACTTGTTGCTTGTCTAGTTGGAATCTCCCGAGTAGATGACTATTGGCACCATTGGCAAGATGTGTTTGCTGGAGGCCTTCTAGGTTTGTTTTTATTGACTTCAAAAATGAAAGAAAATAAAAGGATACGGCCCAGACACAAGTATTAAATACAAGAACTCATTTTGCAAAAAATTTAAAGCGAAACTCATAGTGCTACTCTGTATGTTTCTTTCAGGGCTTGTTGTGGCAACCTTTTGCTATATGCAGTTCTTCCCTCCGCCCTATAGTGATAATGGTAACAGCTCTATCTCTCTGTTTGATTGGTATTGCCAGTAGTAGTGTAGCATGCTGCATGCCAAATGCTGTTTATATCTTGATTCATCTAAGGTTTTGATTTTGCAAATATATTGCCCCAGTTAAGACTAAATATGATATCAGAATTCAGAAGCTTTATTATGTTGGGATTGTACATAAACAATCATTTAATATTATATTTTTGTCTTCGTCTCATTATGTGGTTGTTGATTTTTTCCAAGGGTCTATCGATATATAGGATATGACTGTTTACATATAAAGTATGCCCTCACTTCCTATACGTATTAGATTCCAAACAAGACAAGGACTTAAGGCACTTAATTAGACTTCTGTCCTAACTCCAAAGTCAATATTCTCTGAAGCTTTTCTGTTTGTCATACGTTGGAAGAAATTTTTAATCTTCATTCTCCAGTTACCTATAAGTCTAAAACTTGCTTATGGTCAAGGGTACTTGACTATTACAGCAATAACCTAGTTTGTAACCAACTCAAATTCTTTGTAACTGTGCCACTATTTGCACTAAATTATTATTTCATCTGAGAACAACAGCAGATTTTTCTGGGCTAGAAGCCTGGTCAGGTGGAAATTGGTTGTATAAGAATAAGTATGCTTGTTTGATTAAATTCAGCATAATTTTGGGTTTGGCCACCTTTTTCTTGACACACTGAAATTTTTTAAGGTGGATTTGGTCCACCACTTGAGATAATGCCGGGGGCTGCTGGTTGGTTGGGTCAACTTTTTTTTTTAATAAAATAAAATACATATAACAATATAAAAAGATTCTTAATTTATCAACATATAAAATACATGAAGGAAAGATAATTAAAAAAAAAATATTAATTATAAGGAGAAGGTAAATAAATTAATCTTAAAGATGATAAAACTTAATGCATGGAACAAGTTGTGAAGGGCAGGCAACTTCAATTTTTCTCAATTTTTTTTTTCTCACTATAACACAAGTTTTATACTTAATATTAAGTTCAAGTATCTATCTATATATTTTTTTTTTCTAGGAGAGTCTTCCATTGGTTGGGCCACCTTTACCAATCAGTGAAATTGTTTCCCATTTATGTTTGTTGTCCTTTCATGTTGTCTGAACTAGGTAGCATATATGAAGTATTCCTTTGAGGCTTGAGCTGTTTTTAAATTCGTTTCTTTTCAGGATGGGGTCCATATGCATATTTTCAGGCAATGGAGGAATCACGGGCCACTTCAAACATGAATCGGGATTCACCCGCTGTGCAGGTCATGGATAATCGCGTTATGAATCAAGTACCAAGAAGAAATGGTGATGCATTCACCCCTTTCTCTTATCATAGCCCAACCTTGGAAGCCATGGAGCTGGGACAGAAGTGATCTTATAGCCGTCTTTCGCACTAATCTCCCTTGTTCCTTGTGAATTTGCTTGTGCATACTTGTAATTAAATATGAGGTTCTCTGCACGGCAACACTAGATTTAGCAAACTAGCAATATTGTGCAGCATCTGTTGTGGGTAGCTCCATGCATCACTGGCACTGCAACTGTAAAAAGGAAAATGCTGTATGCTGTATGCTTTCCGCTGATTCAGATAATAGTAATAGATGGTAGGTTAGTCGGAGATTTTTTTTTCCCTCCCCATTTTCCCCCTCCTATAAATCATTCAAATAGCAAAGCCATTTCGAGTCGCTTTTGTAATGTCCTACATTCTGTGAGATCATGTTATGCAAAACCAGTATAGCAGGTAAAATAAGCTGCAACGAAATTCCGAGAAGTTCTGCTACATCTCCTATACAGGTAAATTACGTATATAGAACTCGTGGTTTTGATTTAGGACTTTGGAAGAAGAAAAAAGAAAAACTCATTGTCACCGATGCAAAAAGGAAAGAACTTTACTTCTAATTGTACCACAAAAACTGTACTTTCAAGTAGACTAATGGTTGTGCTTGTACCGTATGGATGACCTTGCTATCTCAATTGAATTTTCCTTTGGATTTGTTGATGACAACAATGTGTCAGAAGTGTTAACCTTTCTTGGATAATTGAAGTGATGGAATTCAAATTTATTATCATTAATCTCCTTTACAAATTGGAAAGTTTAAATTAAATAATCAATCTCGCGTCTTTATAAGAATGGGAGGCATAGAGACAGGGGAATGCTTTTTTACACCGATAAAATAAAAAATGTATCTTTTAATAATTCAAATAAACTACATATTCGAATACTGAAGTTTTTGAAGCGATAGGGTTAAATGATTGAGTATTAGATACTCAATGAGAATGTTCCAATGAGGGGTAGTCTTTGGAGCTGTATTCTGAGGATAAGATGATTGAAAAAAATTAAATAGGGATACTTTCAGATTATAAAAAAAAATAAAAATGGTTAAGTATTAGATATTTTAATTTAAAAGTCTAAAATTGAAATTCTTGTCTGACCTTTTTTTTTTTTGGTAAACAATGAATGGGGACTTTATGTAGATTGTATGAGATCAATCTCGGTAAAAATACCGCTTATGCTTGTACCAAAATGAGAATTGATCCATTCTTAATTTTATTTCCTTTCTAAATATCCATTCTTACAAGAACAAACCTTAGAGCAACAGCGAGATTGTTTTTTGTGACCAAAAGATCACATATTTGAGTATATAAAATAACTTCTTTGCAATGTACCAAAAAAAAAAAATAGCTTCTTTGCAAAAAAATGTAAGAAGAAAGCTTTATCTTTATTCTTACAAATCGGAAAGCTTTGTCTATCAAAGTTTGCGTTTTAATTATCCATTCTTAATGTTTTATTTGATATAAAAGAGAACGAAGAAAAGAAAAAAGAAAAAAGAAAAAAATGTAATAGAAAAAAAAGGAAAATAAAGAAGGAGAGGAGTACAGAAGCTATTTATCATCTTATTTGGTATCATCTGAATTTTCTTATTTTGTCTGATTTTATCAACAATAAAATATGCACGAGAATTTTAACGAAGAGCTATAATAAAAAATAAAAAATTCTCTCTCATTGTTTTTCCTCCTACCAACAAGGAATCCAATATATGTTGGACACACATGGATCAGGGGCGGAGCCAGGAATGTATATCAGGGGTGAAAATTTTAGGGGGCGAAATTTTTTGTAAAACTGCTCCTTTTACTTAGCTGCAAGAAACTATCTTGTAGATGATTTTTCATTGAGTTTTCTCCTTTTCTTATCGATTGTTGGTATCCTCTTTCTTCGATTCTTCAACGTGAACTCTATTTTTATTGAAATAGAAACACTCAACTATACTAAAAAAATTTCTTCAAAATTTGGGGGTCCGCCACCTCCGCATCCCCGGCTACGCCATTGGATGCAAGATTATTTTTACTCCATTCTGCCCATTTGTTAAATTCAGTAAATTTTTAATTTGGTTCCTGAAAAGAAAATTTTACAATATATATTCTAAAAATATGTATTTCGCCAGTAAAATTAATTTATAGCATCAGTAATTCATGAAGTACTTTAACCGACAGAATGCATATTTAAAATATCTATATTATAATTTTTTTTAATAACTAATATGACTGATAAATTTTTAAAAACTAATTTTAGTTATTTAATTAAACTCACACCAATAAAAGGATTTAATTATGGGTCCCCGACTTCTACTGTTGCTGTTGCTGCACCACTTTTTTCGATGCAACAGACACACATAAAAAAGTATGTCCCACTGATTTTTTTTTTTTTTAAATAAGATTCAGTCAATGTATTTTAATTTTCTATGTGATGCTGCAAAAAAAAAATAATTCTGCAACCAAAATAGAAGTATAAAAGTTAATGTTATTAAAACCGGCCCGATCATTGACCCGGTCGAGGTACTGGGTCACTGGTTCAACCGCATAATTCGATAATTATATGTAATTTTATAATTTATATTAAAAAATTATAAATATACTTAAATATCTAAAAAAATATAAAAATTTCAAATATTTTAATATAAAAAATAATAAATCACATATTATTATCCAATAAAAGATCAAATAAAAATATAATAATCGTGATACAGGACTTTAGGTTCAGAAAATGACATCTCTAACTATAAATTAATTCAAAATTTTATGCATATTACATAATTGAGATAATATTAGTATTGTAGGTACATAACTTATGTAAGTTAATAAGTAAAAAAATATTCAAATATGTCCATTATTATTTTTTTTGAGACCGGACCAGGTCACTGGTTAACCGACCGGGTCACCGATTTTTATGAAAATCGGCCGGGTCGGACCAGATCGCACTGGTTCTGATGCATAACCGGTCCGTTGCTTCAACCGGACCTGTTCTATGACCGGTTTATCGATTCCCGGGTCGACCTGGCCGGGTCGGTCCGGTTTTAATAACGCTGATAAAAACCTTCAATTAATGCATCGAAAAAAAAGCCTTCAATTATTCCCCCTTCACTTTCGTTTTCTTTCCTTCCAAAAATTATAGGAGAAATCTTTTCTTAAGCTACTGGAATTTTCTTCTCTTATGTCATACACATAATCCTATATTGGGTTCCATCATTTTTTTTTAAAAAACAAAAACGAAAAACCTAAAAAAAAAAAAATTATTATGAGAGAGCAAGAGATGATTTTTTTCCAATAAAAGAAGAAAATCATCTCCCAAAATTTTATGCCCTTAAAAGAACATTCAAACCTCCTTAAGACACGCTGACCCATGTTTTGGTCTGGGGAAGGCGTTATATAGTGTGAGCGTATATACCAACTTAACAACACCTTTTCGCATCTCTTTCGCGTAAGTAAGCTTACATTTGGTGACAACTCTTTTACCCGTGAGTATATTTAAATATCTACATATAGAGTCACATTTATTATTAGAGCTTTACATCTCTCATTTAATATGAGGTTAGAAAATCTCCTACACACATAATTTTAATGGGTTCCATCATAAATAAAAAATAAAAAATAAAAAAAATATTACACGTAAAATGAACTCTCACTGACATGAAAAAACAACTTCCCTGTTAAAGTAGAAACTATTTTCCGTTGTTATTATTATTGGCAAAACAAGATGATTCAGGGTCAACGCATTGGAGATACTTGTTGTGCAAATCCTTGCTGAGGTATTGAGAACGACAGTTTAGAATGTATTACATTTACCATTTAATTAGTATCATCGTATAAATTTAATTAGTATATAAAGTTTATATAAGCAGTTTTATACTAGCATCCATTAGATAATTTTGTGTTAAAATACTAGATGTTTGTGTAAGATTACTTTGAATTGTTTGGTGCTGGGATTAGATTTGTTTTCCTTGATAAAGTAAAATATCTTGATGTAACTGTACTCAAAGAGGTAGTGGTATAGACAAAACTCTATGGTAGGGGTGGTAATTTTGAACACGATCCGTTAACACAACACGAAAAATTCGTATTCGGGTCAATTCATTTTCAAATTCATGTCGTATTCGAGTTGATAAATATTGATCCGAAAAAATTTATTTTATGTCACGTGTCAACCCACGAACCTATAATTGATCTACATTAATTTTTTTATAGGTTATTTGTATCGTATTGTGTCATAAACAGATTATTTGCGTCTTGTCATGCGTGTCGCGACACATTATGATTTTTCAGGCTATTTGTATTGTGTCGTGCCAACCCACAAATAAGTGAGTCATATTCGTGTTGAAGGTTTTAATCTAATTTAAAATTTGTGTCACGTCGTGTCGACCTGAATTGTCATCTTTACTATGCTAAAAGTGATCATGACTAGTGGTTGAGCCACATAGGCTCCGGCACTGGCGGACCCACGGTGGGTCACATGTCCGCAAGTGCGGACATGTGATTTTGGATTTTAATTTTTTTTTTTTTAGTTATATAGGTTATTATTTGTCTCTTGATTCAATATTTATAGTAGGAATACATATCATTTTAAGTCCCTAACAAAAAATATGGTCTCCATTTTAGTCCCTTATCAAAAATTAGTCTCGAAGAGATCTCTATAAAATTCAAAGTGGATCAATTTAATTAAAATTGTGGTCCTTCATAAATTCAAAAAAGACCTACATTAGTCTCAAAAAGACTAAAATAGATCCACTTTAAATCTCATAGGGACCAGGTGACTTTTTTTTTTATAATGGACTAAAGTGGAGACCAAATTTTTTGTTAGGGACCAAAAATGATATTTATTCTTATATTAGTTAGCAACGTACAGAGATGATTAAAACAACGTAGCAACACAAATTGATTAGAGAGAAAACTTATTCTTCCTCCCTTGTCACGTACCCATTTCCATGATTTCTCATTCCCATGATTTCTAAATCTTTTGTTATGGAAGCAACTAGATTATGAGCGGGTTCAAACGTTAATTTAAACTTTTTTTACAACAAAAAATTCGGGGGCGCGCCCCCAAACCCCCGCCACTAAATGTGCGGACACATAGAAATTTTCCTGGGTCCGCCACTGGGCTCCAGTTAGTATTGTCTAATTTTTAAAAATTAGCCACAATTTACAAGTAGTTAAATAACCGTAGGATACCATGATTCAAAAATTTGTTGTTTGTCACCGTCTAAATTTCTTTGGCACTGACTTAGTTGCTTGGCTGGCTACGTGACTATCCGAGGCGAAGGATGATAGAAGGGGATGGTATTAAAGGCACAATGACTTTATACTTTGGCTCATAAGAGTGCTTTCAAAGTGTCTTTTCAGTAGTAATTGTTTTGTCTGATGGCCCCATTATGTGCATGAGGCAAGTGCACCATCATAAGTGGCATGAGGTGTGTTGATGCACGACGGTAGGGTTTAAGAAATGTAAGAAAATAACCCCCTTAAATGAATCTTAATGGCTCGCCTATTGGATTGTGTGAGTATGATCGATTTAGAACATACTTTATACTAATATATCAATTAAACTCTTATCATTATAAGATATGAAAAAATATTTTTACAACCACTTTAGATAAGATTATTTATCCCAAAAACTATGTCATTTTGATTAATGAAAGATATTTCTATGATTTTATGTGAATTAATGAAGGGTGTTTTCATATGATAAAAAAAAAAAAAAAATTAAAGAAATACCCTTCATTAATTCATCTAAAATTACAAAAACACCCTTAATTAATCAAAACAATGTAATTTTTTGAGTAGCTATAAATAACATATAGAAATGTTTATCCAATAATATATATATATATTGCTTAAGAAGCATAATTACTCTTGACATCACATGGTACGGGCGCGAGGCCATGTGGCGGATGTTATGTTTCTTTTTATTCAGTTTATCCCCTTCCTTTCTAATCCAGAAACTTTTTGTTTCCTTTTTAGTTTTTACAACTGCCTCTTTATTCCATTTGATAGATCTATCCAAACACGCAAGGTATTGGAATGAGAGGGTCATTTCATGGTGCACTAGACGTAATTGGCAATATCAAGTTACCCGTAATACATTTGGGAGGGAACTTTAGCAAGAATCAAATAAAATAAATTTGAAGTTTTTAGATGGTGTGATGCACCCTTTCAGATTCTGAAATCGTGAATCTCCAAACGGGTACCTTGTCTCCTTGCTTGCATTAAAAAAGCCCAATATACGCCTGGCGTTTAAGCTGCCTAAAAGTATTTTATCCATCCATCCATCTTCACTCTTAACGAAGTGGCAATTCGATTGTCTCATTTTGTACCCCTGAACGCTGTGCATGAGACAATCTTATGCCCGTTGTGAACATAAAAATAAGCTTAAACTTTTTGACCTTTTGGTTATTTTATAAGCCTAATATAACATATACTTTTCATGATGCTATTTAGCGAAATATTTTAAAAATCAGGAATTATATTAAAAAGGGTCTTTTTCTAACGAGTATGTACATTTTTTAATAATTTAAAAGTAATAAAAATTTTGGTAACCGATTTCTCAGCAATTAAAAGGTGGCTGAACTATTACCGCCCCCAATAATACAAGGTGCCTTTTAGCCTAGGTGCTGAAAATTTTAAAATAAAACAAAACCAGTGTTGGCTAGGGCCACTGCTCCTCAGTCTACCCCAATTAAAGCAAAAAGTCTGAATGAGCAGTCAAAAGGAGAAAAAGCAAAGACAGTTTTTAATAAAGGGTTAAGAAATTCTTTTAATCTCATTATCAAAGATAATTTTTGGTCCAATAATAATTATGTAAGCTATGTATGTTCTTTCTTAAGTAAATATTTTCATTTTTTGGAAAGAAATCATTATAATGTTTTTTTATATATAAAAGCATTTATTATCAAAGATCAAAATAATAAATAAAAGATAATAAAGCATTAAAGCTGTTCTGATTTTAACCGTATTCAGCATTCGTAAGTCTTTTTCTTTCGTAGTAACAAACCACGTCCCCTTTAATAACCTCACGCGCCTTCTCCTTCGTCATTTTGAATTCCTCCTTCACCACTCTCACAATCACCAGTCTTCTCCCTCTCTTCGTCACCTCGAATCTTGTGCACGTGCAGCTCCAGGTGCGTTTCTCTCTCTCTCTCTCTCTCTCTCTCTCTCTCTCATCGCATTATGGTTCCTCTTTGTTCTTTGCAAGATTCACTGTGTGTGCGTCTGTGTGTACTCTACTGCTCATCCTTTCTTTCTTTCTTTTTTCTTTATATTCTGTTACTATAAGTTAAAGCCAATAGTTGAATAAGTTGAGTTCAAAAATCCGCTAATCAGCGCCGGATTTGTGTGCAGAAACAGCGTCCCCAATCAACGATTTACTTGTCGAAGTTAGATTTGAGATTATTTGGTTTTATTAGTTGTTGAACTGTAATACTCGTTGCTTTGCTTTTGTTTGAGATCATTATCATTTTTCTTTCTTTTTCTCCTCCTTTGTGTTCGTTCGAGTAGATTAGTTCCGTTCCAAGTTACCGATCCGAGATTTTGAGTTTCTGTTACATTCAATTTGTACTGTTTTCCAATGATTGTTGTTGTGGCCACAACATTAGAAGCGGTCCGTTCAGATTTTCTTTCTATGTATATTTGGAAGGAAAAGAAAAAAGAAGAACCCTTGCCAGAGATGCATCTATGACTATATGTTTGTTATTGAGACTGCAAAGTGCTTCAGATTTAATTTTTTATTTTAACTTTTTTGCTTCAGTAGTGATGTTTTATTGCTGGAACCATAACTAATACTTCTAAGTTCTTTCAGTGATGAAGAGGAGTGTGGTCTTTTTTCTTTCTTTTTTTCTTCTTTTTTTGGTACATAAGAGTGTGGTCTTTTTTATCTAATGATTTTGATAAGAAAATGCGTCATGCCTAAAGTTTTAATAGTCCATGCTGCCTGTTCAGTAGGTAGGGCAGAGCATACTTAAATGACCATTACGAATTTTGTGGCCGAAGTGAATTTGTCTTCGTCAAATAATTGTAGGATTTTGTATGGGAGAATACATATTTGAGGAGCTAAGAAATCGTGCACTGACTTGTGGTTGGCTAATAAATTAGATTTGGAAAGGTGTTGTTATGCCGTTGAGGAGGTTTAAGAGAAGTTTGAACTTGTGACATACTTTTCGGATATGTCAAGGATGGATTATGTTTGCTTATATCAAAATAGAGATCTTACCTATAACTAATCAAGATGCTCTTAGTATTGAATCCAGGATTAAGATATGATTGAGATATAGATATAAAATCATTGAAGGCATTGCTTAAAGCTTGAGCTATTAGACGAGATGGTTGCTTATCAGAGTCTTAGTGACCATGAGATCATGAATTCGAACCACTTTCTAGTGGAATTAAGTTAGCATAAGGTAGAATAAAAATAATAGGCTCGTGAAATCCCCACGCGTCAAGCCCAAAACCTTTTTGCTTGAGAGGGTATGTAAAGAAATTATATATAACACCATTAAAGTGACCTTAAGGTAATACCTGTTAAAACATTATATACACATATACTTCATGCTTGTAGAAAAACAAATCACATATTAGCAAAATATAATAAAAAATATAAAACTGAAATCTCAGATAAATAGTACATTACTGAAATTATGTACATAATGAGATCCTGGGGAATAATGTTAATGACAATGCCAATGATATACAATTACATATTTTTCATACATCAGTATAAGGCACAAGATTGCAAACGCTAGTAAAATGGAAGAACGGAGTAATACATTCAAGTATAATCATCACTGGTCCCTACAAAATGAAGTTGTCACTTTGTGAAATTCAGGTTTTCTCATCCTGCAACCTTCAGCAAACATGACTTAGGGTTCAAAATGGAGCTTAGTGGGGGGAAACGATGGAGAAAAATTCCTCATCCTCCAAATTACATGGTTCTACATAATATTTGGGTTTGGAGTTTTGTTTATTCTTGGGCCAAGGCTGTATGTACGCCCACCCAAAAGCAGGGGAAAACACCTTGAAAAACATCTTCAGAAGTACACATTTATTGGATTAATTGGATCTAATCCCACCAATTTTCAGTTCTGTTGGGGTCATTTTATAACAGCATATGTAATTGTCACTGACATTTTTTTTTTTTTTTACTTCATTTTGTTTTTGTTCTTGCTGTATTTCCTTGAATTTCTGGTGCTTTGATATTTAAAATAATTCCTGCTAACATTTTTTTTTTGCTATCTGAAGCAAAAAAATGCCAGAAATTCAGTTGGGTGTACACACTATCAGATCACATGGAGCTAGAGTGGCCAGGATACATATGCATGACTGGTTGATTCTTTTGCTTCTTGTGGTCATTGACGCTGTCTTGAATATAATAGATCCATTTCACCGTTTTGTTGGAGAGGGGATGATGGCAGACCTTAGATACCCATTGAAAGATAACACTATTCCTTTTTGGGCTGTTCCAGTATGTTTTGCTTCCAAGAATTGTGCATTAAAATAATTTATACCCTTACTGACATTATATGTTATGTTTACTCTTGACTTGGTCAACATTCAAGATATAAACTCTTGAGTTTCAATTTCTGCACAGATAATAGCAATATTGTTGCCACTGGTTGTCATTCTCGTTTACTATTTCATTCGAAAGGATGTTTATGACTTCCACCATGCTATATTGGGTACATTTCTAAACATTATAAAGTTTCTCCTATCCTTATTTACACATCACTTTGACATATCATAACCTATTGCCAAATGTTATTAGGTCTTCTATTTTCTGTACTCATTACTGCGGTGATAACGGATGCTATCAAAGATGGTGTTGGACGGCCACGGCCAGATTTCTTCTGGCGTTGTTTCCCTGATGGAAAAGGGGTGGGTTTTCAATTTTATCAACAACTAATAGTTTTATTAATACCATTACCATGTGATACATATTGCTTTAATGTAGTTATGTGATCAATAAACATGGCTTTGATGCATGACATGTTCAGGTGTTTGATCCAATAACAAGTGATGTTAGGTGTACTGGAGATAAGAGTGTTATAAAGGAAGGGCACAAAAGTTTCCCGAGTGGACATACCTCTTGTAAGTACACTTCACAATCTTAGGGTCAGTGTGCAACTCACGTAGTTTTTATTTTTTTTATGTATGCTTTATGTCCTTAGGGATCTGCATTTCCTTTGAGTGGTCTTGCTGCCTCTTGATGTCTATGCACATGGCAATCTTACAGTATCTCGAGGATGTTGTTCTGGATTATAATAGAATTACAAGGTCAAAAATTGTTGTTGACGAGATAGGTTCACATTAAAAAAAAATTGTATAAGAATCTTTGTACCTCCTTATTTAATCATACTACTTTCAAAAGGTTGAGGTATTCGGTATTTTTGGAAATATTTAGTTTCTCAACCTTTTCAATTGGTCTTGTTTCATTGCCAAAAAATATGCTTGGGGTAGCATTTGCATTTTTGTGTCATTGGTATCTTGGGAATGGCCTATCGTTTGTTTTCATTTTGTAATTGACCACTAGCTATATGATCTACCACAATATCAGCTCAGAATGGTTAAATTTTTGTTATACAGGGTCCTTTGCAGGTCTTGTTTACCTTGCTTGGTATCTATCTGGAAAAGTTAGGGTATTTGACCGTAGGGGCCACGTTGCAAAGCTCTGTCTTGTTTTCTTACCAATTCTCATGGCAGCTATGGTTGCTGTCTCTCGTGTTGATGATTATTGGCATCATTGGCAAGATGTGTTTGCAGGAGGTCTTATAGGTTTGTTTATTGAAGCCAGATTGATTAAATATTTGAGTAAACCTTTCTGCAAAGTTTCTTATATGAACCACTTTTATCAGGGACGACAGTTGCTTCCTTTTGTTACTTACAATTCTTTCCACCTCCATACGACATAGATGGTATGAGTTGCTCCTTTCATCTTTTCATTTTGTTCGAATATATAAAAAATATCTAATAATATCTTCATGGTATCTTAGAATAGTTTAAAGCATTTAAAATGATCTCATAGGAATGGTTTTCTTATTTGTTTATACTTCATAATTTATTTCTTGATTTAATTAAATTTTTTGAGTCTAATATTAATATAAATAGAGATTAGTGCTTTGTAATTGGTATTAGGTCATAAGACATCCTTCACAGCAATATCAATATAATTTTGTTATTCTGAGTATTTATTTTCTTCTTTCTATATCTAAATCCCTATAATTTCAACACATTCCTTTATAGAATGTGTTTGATGTTGTTGTTTGTGACAATTTGTTTTGAGTCCTGTCCTAGCCTAGTCCTATCGGATAGGACCTATCCTATGTGGATCTGAAATTTGAGATCTGGATTCATTTTGGGCTTTTGTCCAGGCTCAGGCTTGACGAAAGTATTTGGGCCCAATCTTAATCTAGAGAACACATTGATGAGCATCAGACATGAATGAGGGAATTAGAAGCAAAAGAAGGAAATCTCTGTATTGGTTGTGGCAGATTCAACTGAATATAACAAGGTTCATTACAAAGCCCTCCAAACAGAGGTAGAAAGTTACACAAGGAAAAAAGTTCAGAGCAATCTGAGTTCTCCCAAACCCAAGTCTAGTCCTAGTTCTCTAATCTCCTTGCTCTCCTTTTTTTCTATTTATTCCCACTTCATGCTTGACGTTGCTAACAGAATCCTTCTTTAGACCTTGCATAATATTCTTTTCTAACAACCTTGCTGACTCAACATTAGAGAATGATCGTCTATGCCTTTTCCTATAGTACGCCCTTATTTCTGGTATCCTATCGCACATACTCTCTATTATAATATTTTACTTGTACTACTGTGAATTTACTGAACTTTTCAATATAAAACAAAGCTCTTATATCATTCATACAAGATTTCCACGTTTAGTGTCCTAATTTGTAATTCAAAAATACATTTTTATTCTAAAAATTTTCAAATTTTTAATTTTAAAAAATTTATTTTAAAGTAATTTTTTGATTTGGCCTTAATGCCAAGCTTGGGCCCAAATTGAAAGAAAGGGGCTAGGCCCATTCTTGTAGACACTGTAAATTTTCAACAAAAGGCCTAGCCTGTAATAAGTTCTTATGGATTTTTCTTTTAGAGTGGCATTCTACTTTTCTTTCCATATTATAACATGGTTTTCAAAGCTTGTAATTACAAGTATTCAAAAAAAAAAAAAAAAAAAAAGATTGTAATTACAGAACTTTCTTTCGGTAAAACTGAAGGAACAGGGTGAAAATTTGTCACTGGATAACAGAGTATGCTGTAGATTGAATTCTTTGTTTATGCTGCAATGCTTACCTGCCATCTCTGAGCTTGCTAATTTGCTTTTGGGCTTTTTAAAATTGAAGTTAAGTCTTAATATGGTTTCTAGTTCAGTTTTTGAAGAAAAATATCCATTCATAATTTTCATGTGTATATATTTATAACTCATGATATATGTAGGTTGGGGACCTCATGCATATTTCCAGATGTTGGCTGAATCTCGAAATGGTGCTCTGCCCCCATCCGTCAACAACGAGACTCATCGTGCTCTATCTGCTGAGCTTCAGGCTGTATCTTTGTACATCCCACCTCAACATGATGGAGATACACGAGGCAATAGCTGGGATTCAAGTCCCATGTTAGGTGGATCACAAAATGTAAGGACACACTGACTGCAGTAAAGACACAGGAATGATATCTCGAGATGTCCATAGTCTGTAAAAATGATAGGCATTTGTGAGTTTCAGTAGCAGATAATCGACACTTCAACATCGTTGGCTGTTAAAAATGCGGACGTCTACTGCTTTGGTTCTGAGATTATTGTTGGATTGGAATATCTTTTTACTTGTCTTTATGTTTCGGCACTTTTTTTACGTCCATTTGCCATTATAAAATGAGAGGATTTAATGGGCTCCACAGGATCAAAGCATGCATGATTTTGTATCCCGAGAAAAGTAATAAAAAAGATAAATTCATATAAAAGAGGGCGTTTGACCTTAGTAGTTTTATTTTTATAAATTTTAACCGGTAAAGTTTGGTGGTGATTTGTATTACCTACCTAATGCATTAAAACGCGGTATGGTCAGAATCATATTGAGAGGTGATTGCATATCAGCCGCGTTCTTTGCATTGGTGGAGGAGAATATTTGAAATGGAAAATGGCAGCACAAGACGTGACACATAGGAAACCGCGTCTCAGTCAGGCCAGACAGCACCTGACACGGTTCTGGCTGTGCCGCGTCCAGGTAGATTTATCAACACAATTCTAAGGCCACGAATCCAAATAATGATTACGTTCCAACTACGAATGCCAATAATTAAGTGCATAAGAATAAAACTTAAGAAAGAATAAAACAGTCGTTACAATTATAAAAGAGAATAAAATGCAGATTTCTATATTAATTTACATGGGACAATGATATATGGTTTTAATATGCCATATGAACATAACAATATATGTGTTAATCGTAAAGGTACATAAAAAATAAATTTTTTCCAATTAAATATAAAACAGAAATAAAGTTTAATAATATTAATACCAATTAAATATACAACACTAATAAATTTTAATATTATTAATATAGCATATTTAACAAATTTAATAGATTAATTAATACTAATAATATAATAAGTTGATTTTGAAATTAAATACGAAATAGTAATAATATTAATATCAAATTATAAAATCTAAGTACACTAACTTAACATTTAACGCTAACAAATATCGGAATGTAAATGATATTAGGTTTTCTGCCCAGGTTTTGTTTGTGTATAAAAATATTAGGTTAGTGAATTTAAAATTGATAATTAGTTTTTTTTATACCATTATGATTGTAGTTAATTACATAAGATGTTATTATGATTGAATGTAAATGCATAAGATGTTATTATTATTATTGGCAAAGGCAGTTAAATATGCTATATCTGTATTATTAAATATATGAGGTTAGTGGTCTTATTTATGTTGTTTAAAGGTCCGATATTTGTTAGCGTTAAATGTTAAGTTAGTGTATTTAGATTTTATAATTTGATATTAATATTATTACTATTTTGTATTTAATTTCAAAAACAACTTATTATATTATTAGTATTAATCAATCTATTAAATTTGTTAAATATGCTATAATAATATTATTAAAAGTTATTAGTGTTGTATATTTAATTGGTATTAATATTATTAAACTTTATTTCTGTTTTATATTTAATTGGAAAAAATTTATTTTTTATGTACCTTTACGATTAACACATATATTGTTATGTTCATATGGCTTATTAAAACCATATATCATTTTCCCATATAAATTAATATAGAAATCTGCATTTTATTCTCTTTTATAATTGTAACGACCCGTTAAGTTTTATTCTTAATTATTGGCATTCGTAGTTGGAACGTAACCATTATTTGGATTCGTGGCCTTAAAATTGTGTTGATAAATCTACCTGGACGCGGCACAACCAGAACCGTGTCAGGTGCTGTCCGGCCTGAGACGCGGCTTCCTGTGTGTCACGTCTTGTGCTACCATTTTCCATTTCAAATATTCTCCTCCACCAATGCAAAGAACGCGGCTGATATGCAATCACCTCTCAATGTGATTCTGACCATACCGTGTTTTAATGCATTAGATAGGTAATACAAATCACCTCGAAACTATACCGGTTAAAATTTATAAAAATAAAACTACTAAGGTCAAACGCCCTGTATATCGAATTAATATTACTATTGAATATTTATATTTCTTGTAGTCTAATTGTACCAAAAACAGAATATGATTAAAGGGGTGTTATTTGCCTATTTTATAATTAAATAAAAATAGACGCTTATATAATTTAGGTAAAATATAAATTAAAATATTATTTGAAAATTTTAAAATTATAATGGAATATGCATAATTAATTTAAGAAGATTTTTAAAAAATATAAATTAAAAAAATTAAAATTGTAAACAATATATGCATAATTAATTAACAATAAATTCAAAAAATAAATTAAGAAATATATATTATCCTTTGAAAAATTTAATTACTTTTTACAAATTAAATTTCTTTTTAATACGTCAAAATAAATATAAAATTGTTAACTATCCAATACTTACCTATAAATATCTTGAAGGCTGAACAGAATGGGAAAAATATTTATTTTTTTTAAAAAATATAATATTGGGTTATTTTAACTAAAATTATTATATTTTATATATAGTGAGAGAAATAATTACACAATAAAAAACCATGGTGTGTGAGAGTGAAAGGTTATTGATAGATTTTTTAAATTTAAATATTAAATAAAATACTACTATTTTACTTAAAATAACACATTTTTTATACTTTAGAAAGACAAATATTTTTTGAAAGAGAATAATAAACAAAAGAAAAAGTAATAAATGTTAACCTCTCTTTTTGTCGTGAATCAGATAAAAACTTATAAATCTTGATTCTTCAGAAATACGGTAAACCCTAAACTTATACATATGATTTTGCACAGGACGCGGCAGGTAAGGTATCATGTCTTAAAAGCACTGACAGGCCTGTACTGGACATGGTAGGTAAGGTATCACGTCTTAGGAGCTCTGATGACCATGCCAAAAAAATTGTACAGGACGCTGTATGCTTTGTATCACGTCCTTAAACGTCAGTTCTCCAACCGCGTTGTTATGCATTATATTGGCAAAACTTTTGACCCACAAATTATTCCGATCATACATTACAAAAACAACACTACCAAGGTCAAAAGGCCCGATATACAAGATGCAAGACTTTTTCTTCTTATTATTCTATATGGGATTTGTTTTCTCATTTAACGTAAGATAAACTCATTTTTCTACACTCACATATTGAGTGGTGGGACCTATTTATATTTTTTTCTCTTCTATTCTCTCTCCTCTTTCCCATATATGTAAGTGTAGGTAAATAAGTTTATCTCATGTTAAATGAGATAAACAATTCTCGTTGTATATATCTTAAAAGCGAAGAAGGAACGATTCAATGTATCATGTTTTGCACAGGACGCGGCATGTAAGGTACCATGTCTTAAAAGCATTGACAGGCCTGTACTGGACGTGGTAGGTAAGGTATCACGTCTTAGGAGCTCTGATGACCGTGCCAAAAAAATTGTACAGGACGCGGTATTCTTTCTATCACGTCCTTAAACGTCAGTTCTTCAACCGCGTTATTATGCATTATATTGGCAAAACTTTTGACCCACAAATTATTCCGGTCATACATTACAAAAACAACACTACCAAGATCAAAAGGCCTATAAAAGAAGAGAAATCAGTTTGTGATGTCGATTGTTTTATTACGCAATAGGATTACTTTTTTAACATGAACCTATCTCGGTTCTTGATTTTTTTTTTTAAAGTATGGGATCTACATGTAAATGGATCTTCTCATATGAAAAAAATATGACAGGGTAATGTGAAAAGATCACAACCATACGAAGGTAAATTTATGATTTCGTAACTACTTATTTTAATATATTTTTTCTCTCCTCTTTTATTACCATTGATTCACCTTTGTATGGTTATGATTCTCCACATGACATGGTCATGTGAATTTTTTCGTGAGAAGATCCAGATTTGGATCTACATTTGATTGATTTGTGTGTGCAAGGTAATTTTTTTTTTCATGTGATATTATTAAAAATGAACCCACAAGAAAATTCACTAAATTCCTCATATTAAAAAAAAGGAAAGAAACGAAGTGGCCGAGAAATTTTGCATACACGTACGTAATGGTGTTTATAATTTGAAGAATATTAAAAGAGTAACGCAAGGCTAACAAGCATGATGCACTTAACGAAGCATACATGACGTGTTTATAATAATAATATTAAAAAGACTCACATTAGGCTATAAAAGTTGTTGATTATTTTATTAATGAGTTTGAAGTTAATCTTTATGAAAAATAAAAATTCTATTTCAAATGGAGTATCTTTTAAACTGAGGCATATTTTAAAGTGTAAAGAAATAATTTAACCCGAAAGCTTAAGTTGTTGAGTGATGGTCTTTTTAATGATTTATATTATTCTCTAATACTCTCTGGTGTAAAAGCCCTTTACACTTGAGAGCCCTTTGCAGTTGAAACGTGAATATTGTACAAACTCATTTTTTATTTACTTTATACTTATTTAATTCTATTAAAAAGTGGAAAAGATGTAGATTGAACTCATGTAAAAAATCAATTCAACTCAAAAATTTAAGCTATTGGATAATAACATTGTTAATAGTTTATATTATTATCTAAAGTGTAGAATTACAATGGTTGATTAAAAAATTAAGAGTAGATATTAAAAACTTTATAATTCATTATGTATGAACATGTATTTATCATATATCAGTCATTAATTTTTTAACTAACTGTTATAACTCTATACTTTATATTTTAAAGGGATAGGATCCGTTTACAAACTTTTTTTTTTTGCAAATTATACTAAGTACGACCGGTCGTATACTGCATGATTAAAGTATGACCGGTCGTACTTAGTGTAATTTGTAAGAGTTTATAAACAAAAAAGTTTATAAATATAACCTGTCCCTATTTTAAAAGTATAACTCTTATAATTAAATTTAATAAAGAGTATGATTTTTATAATTTACCAGGACAGTCTCACATGTCCACAAATAGATGAAAAAACACCACAAATAGAAACAGCAGTATGCAAAAGAGTGTTGAGGAAGCATAGGAGCGGCACTTTTTTTCCTTATATATATGAAAATTATTTCCATTCTTCACAACGTCGAAAACTTAAATATTAAATTAAATTGCTTTATTATAAATCGTAATTATTTCATTAAAAAAACATGGGGTTTTATAAGTACATTGATAATGCATAATACCATGATCAATTTTATAGTGTAATTAACTAATTACTATTATATAAAATTGATTGTTTAAAGTAGT